TATATCATGACAGATTGTGCACTTAAAATATGGGTGATTATACACTATGAGGAATTGATGATCAGGGCAGAATGGATAGTAAAACCATATGATATGGAGAATGGGAAACTTATTGAATTTTTCATTTTGTGTTCCAGTACCTTGGAACTCTCACAGAGCTGTCTGAAGTAATTTGTCTCAGTGCTGCCTGAATGTGCGTGCTTGTCAAATGCGATTGACTCTGCCAACAAAGAGTTCTGCTCAAAATGCTGTCGACAGTAAATTATATACTGTGAAATATCAGTCTATTATTATGGCTCTTGAAATGTACAGTGTCTTTTTTATTTTGTTACAAAACTATTAGAATAAGCACAAATAAAGACTATTCAAGCTTTATCGGTGCAGACGCACTGACTCAAGGGACTTAAAGGATGGCCAATCAACTGCCGTCCATTGCGCCTTAAGGGTCAGTAGTAAGTTGACAGTAGTAAGTACCATTCACCTTATGACAAAAATGATTTATGACCCTTGATTGATGGCTTTGACCTTTTGACCTTTCCCCCCCCCCACGCAGCCCAGCCACACTGTGACCACCCACATTGCGACCACCCGCATCGTGACCACCCTCATCACGACCACCCACGTTGTGTTGATCCCGTGACCTGTTAAATATCCAGATGTGACCTTTGTGTTCCGGGGGAAGAAATATGATGTTTGATCATGTCCGAGGATGACAAAACCATAAATGAAGTCCTGAGGAATGTGTTTGTGTTTTTATGGTCCGTTCCCGCATCCGGGGGAGGAGGGGGTTTCCCAATCTGGGGTCCGTGTGTCCTGTTGCATTCCAAGGCGCGCTTAGATAAATAGACCCGGTCGCTTTTGTGGAAAATCAGAAAAGCGATGTGAAATACATAGACGTGGCCGGTTTATACTCACCTAAAACTCCTGAGAAGGAATGGGATGAACAATAAATAGAATAAATAAACAATTTTAACAGATTCTCCCTCTCTCTCTCTCTCTCTCTCTCTCTCTCTCTCTCACATACACACACACACACACACTATAATATAAATGAAATTGGGGATAAAACAATAAATAAAGAAATAAAATTCCTCTTACATTTTTCCATGAGACAAAGTCTTCCTCCTAGTGCAGGAATGACCGTTCCGTGAATGAATGGAAAAGCTCTCTCTCTCTCTCTTTCTCCCCCATCACCATCTCTCTCGCTCCCCCTCACCCTCTCTCTGCCTGTGTGAGCACGCTCGTGTCTGTGTGTGTGTCGTGCCCCCACTGCTCCTGTCATTTCGGTCCGCTGCGAGAGAGAAAGCGGATAAGCTTGGCAAACGTTTTAAATGCTCTACATCTAACTCAAAGCACACTATTACTTTAATGTTTAAATAAACAGATTCCCTATACATCTGATGTCCGGCGGTTCTTGTTTATATTTTAACTAAGTTTCTTATTTTAATCATGGAATTCTTACATGGTCTAGATTGGCTTAGTGGTCTACACAGTCATGATGTGGAGCAATAGTTTGTTTTGAGCATTGAATTGAACTTCACCTCAAACGGGGTTTAAATTGCTTTTAGCTAATATCACATCTATTTTAAATGTTAATTAGCCTTTATTCATCAAATTATTTTTTAATTTGGTTATGTTTTATTTCACAATGTTGATCTGTTTAAACAGATGTTCTCACAGAGTTCGAACAAACCATTATGTTATGTTTTGTTTAAATAACAGTAGTACTAGATGTTTGTACACATGTTTCAGATCTATCCATGACAATGTAAATATTGTCTTCTGTCACAGTTGTAATTTACAAATTCCTAAGGTATTTTCATAGACTTTCAGTGCGGAAGAGTTATGGTTCTCTGTCACCGCTCAAAATCAGATCTACTTAAAAAAAGAAATAATAATAAACTATCTTTAACCTACGGCTATATATATATATATATATATATATATATATATATATATATATATGATGTTAAAATTATCTTTACTATTCATATAATTTAAATATGTTAATATCCATTTTATATTATCTTAGTTACATTTGTTATTTCTTTATTCACCAATAGATTTTGCAAGTCTCATCACAAGTACAGACATGTACAAAAACACAAACATACATGCAAACACACATAAACACAAACACTCAGCACAAACATACACGCAAACACTCAATCACACACAAACACTCAACACAAACACAAGCATACACACAAACTTAGGACAAAGGTAGTTACTTATTAGATATTTGATAATTACTAAAAAAATATATCCTCATTGAGAACTACTTGCGAACTATGACCAATTAATAAAGAATAACCAATTAATTACTAATCACAACAGTAACGTCTTAAAAGTGTACGATTGGGTTCCTTGTGGAAACTAATTTATGAATATGATACCCCCAAATAAGTCCGCTACCGGTTGAAATTGTGACTACTACTCTTACCAAAGGATGGATGTTCAAACTTAAACATAGAATAATAATAAAAATGAAAATTCACTTTAAAATGTTAATAATTTTAATAATAACTAAGTCTGACTTTCTCTAGTCTAATTGGTATAAAAATTAAGTCTTTTTTTATTGATTAATATGATAGAATCACGCTGAATTTATGAGGTTATGTATTTATACTGTTTAATGCACTCGCTGGTTACCGTATACATATTCAAGAGAAATGTATAAACTCAATTGTTTTAATCAAACTAAAGCTTTTAGTCTGTAATTACCAATATCTTAAAGAGAAAAATATTTAATACATTCTATTTTCATTTGTCCCAGGACTCTGTTACACAAAAAAACACTTGAGTGTGGACATGAATCCTACATGAAAGCTAAAAAGATTACATTTTAAACCATTTTTAACAGTAATATTGAACTTTACACATACTTAACATCTTAAAACATATGTATCAGTAAGATATTAATGTCATCACAAGCCATCAGACACATCAGCTTGGGGTGATGAGATAGACTTATCGAATATTTGATTGTTTCTTATATCAATAAATTGATCAAATCTTAGTAAAATAAAACATTATAGTGCTATAGTGGAAAATAAATATGTTGCATTTAAACTGCATGGTTAACCAGGACTCTGTTACACAAAAAAACACTTGAGTGTGGACATGAATCCTACATGAAAGCTAAAAAGATTACATTTTAAACCATTTTTAACAGTAATATTGAACTTTACACATATTACAGTTAACATCTTAACACATCTGCATCAGTAAGATATTTATATCATCACAAGCCGTCAGACAAATCAGGTGGGGGTGATAAGCTGGACTTATCTATTATTTGATTGTTTCTTCTATCAATTATTTGATCAAATCTTAGTAATATTAAACTGCATAGACCCGCTTTTTTATTTTAATAAAATAAAACATTATAGTGTGAAAATAAATATGGTGCATTTAAACATCATGGTTAGTAATACCATTTTTTCAAATGTGAAAGAAAGTCTAATCTGTTGTAAAGATTATGTGAGACATTCGTAGAGCCTTGTTTAAAAAGTGCTTTCGTTGCAAACAACCTTATGACAACTGATTTTCAGTCTAATTTAGGTCTAATTCATAAAGAAAACTCTCTTTAAGCACCTTGCATTCATCAAAGGCTCATTTGACTACTAACCCCTGCATTAGAGCATCATGGTTTTAGGTTTGAAAAATCTACAAAATGTAACTTATTTGTTCAAACAAAAGTTACATCATTGTTTAATAATACTGATTTTCATCATCTTGTAGAGATACACAGTGTGATGGTAAAAAAATATATATTTGTAAAAGGTTTGTATGAGACATCGTAAAAGTTTCAATGTTTAACTGCAGTGTGTGTGTGTGTTTGCATTTACGTATATGTTTGGGTTTGCGTTTTGCATGTATGTTTGAGTTTTGCCACATATTTGTGTTTGTTTGAGTGTTATGCTTGTGTT